AGTTGCCTTACTGACATAAATGAACATTTGCACAATATTCTAATTTTTCGAGTTTCACCTGGAAATCAATGGTGCTACTGCATCAAGAATATTGTGTGCAGTTCTGGTTGCCACACCTCAAAAAGGATAATACAGATCTAGAGGGGGTTCAGAGGAAGGCGACTAAGATGATTAAGGGGCTGGAATAGCTTTCCTATGAAGAAAGATTGTAATATTCGGGGCTTTTTAATTTAGAAAGGAGGTGAATGAGAAGGGACATGATTGAGGTGTACAAAATTATGTATGATGTACATAAAGTAGACAAGGAGAAGCTATTTTCTCTTTCCCGAAATATTATAACCAGAAGTCACCCAATGAAATTGAATCTAGGAAGAATCAGGACAGACAAAAGCAATTTTTTTACAGAGTGTATACTTAAATTTTGGAATTCACTACCATGAGATGTGGTGCTGGCTACTAGCTTGATTGGCTTCAAAAAAGTGTTGGATCAATTCGTGGAAGGCATGGGGATCAAAGGCTTAGTCTCGATGTCAAAGTAACTGCCTCTGAAGGCCATATGCTGGAGACCAGTGGGCTTCCTTTTGCAGTTGATTGGGCACTCTGAGAACAGATTGGTGCATTAGATGGGCCAGGGGTCTGATCCAGCAGGACACTGCTTATGTTCTTATGTTTAAGGGCTCCATGTAAAGTACACTGCCATAGGCAAGTCAGGTGTTAATGAGGGCATGAGTTACTGCAGGCACGTCCTCCTGCCCCAGGTAGGATTGCAGTTTGTACTCCAGTCAAAGCTGGGCATAGGTTCCTCTGGCCATGGCTTCACCTGTTGATCAAGCAGAAGCTATGAATCCAGAAGGACCCCCAAACTGTGGACCTGCTCCTTTATGGTAGTGCAACCCTGGGGGTAACAGAGAACCCTAGCAGACAAACAGCAATTCTGTCTTACTAGGGTTCAGCTTCGACTTGTACTCTCTTGTTCATATAAGAGATACCAGGAAAGGGCACAAAAGAATCTCTCTTATAACCCAAGGCAGTGATGTATTGTCAGCATGCTGGTGATACTGTATGGTACTGTATTTGTGTGAATTCTTAACTTTGGGGACATTTTATTATTCTGGATTTATCTGTTCTAGCTTTTCTGAATTGTGTTGTAAGCTATTTATTTGTGATTACAATTATTTCTATACCGCCTCATTCCAGAATGGCCCCTGATGGTTTACAATAGCAATAAAACCATAGAGTCCAATAATTAAAATGCAATTAAAAATTCTAAATTAAAAACAATGCCCCTAATCCCAGTGACCAATTTCAGTGGCAATTATCATATCCTAAACGCACTCTCAAACAGCATTATCTTCATGGCTTTCCTAAATTAGAACAAAGTGGAACTTGCCCTCAAAATGTTTAAAATTAAAGGACAAAACTATATTTTTTTAAAAGCTAACAATTATTAGCCACTGACTACAGCACAACTAAAAATTGTGCTGCTTGTTTATATTTTTGTTTTTGAGATTTTATAAGAGCTTTATCAGCTCAGATTGCAAACTGTGTCTAGGACAAAGATGATTTACAGCCTCATGTAACAACTCTAAGAAAATAATTCATTCAAATGAATTAGTAGTATGAAAATCAAACTTACCTGCACAGCACAACCCAATACCAAAAGTAACAGCTTTTTAATTTCATCCATACTTTTACCTAAGAAGCAAGAACTGACCATTAATATAGAAATTATGAAGGCTTTTATTTAAAAAAAACAGATTATGTATAATGTAAATTCAGTGGCACAGCGTTGTTCAGGAGACTGCAAATCCTTAAGTTTGGATCATAGTATACAATGTGGTTTTATATGGTTTTTTGCTTTTCTGTTGGGAAATATAAACTGGGGTGCTTATAATTTGAAATTATAACTCTCATAATTTCTAGCTCTCCTAACTTTCCTAAGTTATGTAACAGAGTTTTAGAAAAAATGTATAATGCTATCAATGGAATTTGATTTAGCATGACTAAAAGACTGGAAATAATTTATTATGATGCTGTAATCTATACTAAATGGATTATAGCATCTACCTTTTAATCATAATAAACATCTCATTTAGGTGTTACTTGTAATGAAAGTAATTTAGTGGGAGAAAACTTCATTGCAGTGGGGTTTTTTTACACACGTTATGCAAAATTGTAAAAGAAAAACTTAAATAAAGCAGTTATCCGAGTATATCTCTAATATAGTGCTTTTTATTTCTTTGTTAAATTTAGTTTATACATAGTATTAAAAATAAATGTGTCCTTCCCAAGCTATGGACTCCGGAAATTTGACCTGCAGGAGAACTATCTTATTCTTTCATGTCTAGATTTGCATGACTGAATTTCTTCCTCCATATTTCAGCCGAGCTAGTACAATCAGATGGCTCCTGAAATAATTGTGCCTATTAAATGCTCCTGGAAGATGGAGGCAAGAGACTGAAGCCACTGAGTAAAAGAGCATAATAAGCCGGGAGTGGGCATACATGTAATGACAATTCTCCTGTTCCCCTCTAGGTCATCTTAATGAAGAAAAATAGATGCTAGCCACTATGTCAACATTTACTCTTTCACATGGTTTGATTTTTAGAAAAAGCAGGTTTTTTATTTTTAGCTTTCTCTATTGAGCATTGACTGGATAAGCATGCTGGGGGCAGAGATGAAATACCCCCACCTGACATAGAATAAATGGGTACCACGTATTATCGCTTGATGTTTCATTCTTGAAAGTCTATTGCCTGTAAAAAACGATTATTCTCTCTCATACGTGCACACACACACACGTGCACACCCAAAATGTATTTTTACTTTATTAATTTCAAACATATCCTTACAAAAACTAGACAATTCCTTCCAGAAATCATTCTGGCATTAAAGCTGTAATAGTTAGCAAGTTTCTAAGGAGAATGTGAAACAGAAACTATGCATCTGGTTTAATAGATTCAACATCGTATGTTATTATTTAAATGAAGATTCTGGCTATCACTTTCAAAAAGGTAAGCAATCAATCACGTCCTCTGTATGGTGTTGAAGCGGTGGTTCAGCATTTACATTTTAAAGATACAAAGAGGGTAGCAGACATTTAGATCATGCTTTCCATTAATAATCTATTCAGCAGCATTATATGCATTATCTCTTAGGTCCTTCCTTCTTTACTTGCATTTTTGCTTCACAAAACCCCAAGTTTTCAACTATTTTTGTATCCACTTTACACATCTGATGAATTAAAAAGTATCTTGCCTACAAAAAGCTACATGCCACAATGGATTGCAATTTGAAGGTACCACAGAATGCTCCCTTTTAAATCTGAAGAACTGGTATCACGCATGACCATCACTGCTTTAAAAATTAACTCAGTGGCATTTTCCTTTTCCAAAAATTCCAAGGCAGCTGCTTTCACACTAGCTAACTAGGTAATTAAAATGGAGGGATTTGTAGTACAACCATCTGCTCCCACAACGGGCTTTAGACCTTTAGGGAATAAAATCTGTAGTCTAGAAGCTTTTCTACAGTACTAGACCAGAGAAGGGCCCCCACTCTCACAGGAAAGAGATGGGGAGAAACAGATGGTCGCATTTTTGTGGGAGGCAGCAAAGAGATTACAGTACAACACAAAGATAAAAAGGCAAAGAAATAAGATTAGGAGGGCAAACAAGAGCAGAATGGTTGGAAACACTGGTTTAAAATTAAGACATTTCATTGCTGGGTGAAAAGTTTGTTTTCACAGAAATTGTGGACTGCATAGGCTTAACCCTGTCAAAAAAAAGTGATGAAAAATCCAATGTTTGCTTGATTAATTTCCTCATTCTTCAACATCTTCTATGCTAATCTATCACAAACAGTGGTAAAACCTGAATGCTTGAAGGAAGATGTCAACTAACTTAGTATATCCTGATAGATGATATCATGATAAGCATCATGTGATTAGTGCTGCCAAAATGAATTTTAAATGTTTCCTCAATAATGATCAATACTGTAAGATGCCTTCTGTGTCATTCCGACCATTGCTGCTTTTACCTATTTCCCCAGTGGTATCAACCGAAGCAGTTGGTTTATCTTGCTCTAGGCCAAGACAGTCTCGTTGCAGTTTTTTCTTTTCACCAATAGTTCAAAATGATCCCTTAGCGTAGTCTA